AAAAAAGAATACCTCCCTGCTTCCTTTTTATCTTTTACTTTGTTCTTTATTTATAGTTTGGAATATATCATATAAGGAAAACCATGAAATATTTAACTTTGTGTGTTTGATTTATTTCATTTAACATTATGCTCTCAAGATCCATCCATTTTCCAAATGATTCAATTTATCTAACATATTATGTTATACATTAATCTCTTACTTTGCTTTACCATATCAAATACTATGAAATCAAGAAATTGTTTCCTAAAATAAGCCAACTCACCTAAGAAGTGATTGGCACGTAAACTCATAGAAACTATTATTGCACATTTGTTTTTAGAATTTAGATTTTCTTTGGCACTGTAATAACTGTCCTATGTATTAAGAATTAGATCAAAACAATTATGAACATTTTGACATTTCAGTCTGACTTAAATCTATACTTTAGTAATGACATAGTGTAGCAGATTAGCACATTCAGACAAATAGAATTAAAAATTTATTTCCTCCTTTCATACATTATTTCAATATTTTACATCTAATTTCATGTAAAGGCAACACTTCTCATATGTACCATTTATTTTCATTTATTATATATTGCTTTATAGGGTACTCTTTTTAGATATTGAATTGCACACCCAGAATGTAATTTACTTTAGAACATAGATCTTGTCCTGCAGCTTACAGTTCTCTGTCTTCAACTTCTCTTGGCATTGTGAAGCCTAACTCAGTTCATTCTATTCTTCTCTCCATTTAATTTCCTGAAAAAGTAGCACTACTGTGTTGCTGAAGATAATCTAACAGAAGCATGAGTAAATTGAAGTCTTTCAAAAAACAGCATTTAGGGCTCTTCCTTACAGTAGAGCCATGCTGATGAGATGCTCCAGGTTTGATAACTGGCCTCCCACTCCCAGTCTGGAGCCCCAGAATGCTCTCACGTGCATGATCTGCCATGAATTTTATTGCTGTTCCCATGCTAATCTAATAACTTTTCGTAATATAATTTTATTGGACATTGGTGTGGCTTAGGAAAAGATAAATTACAATCTTATTTTTCTGCTACACTGCTATTCTGTTATAACTGAGTCCAACCAACAACTAACAGTATAAACAGACTTACAGGTTAAAAATATTAAGATATCAGATCTGACTTTTCACTACCAGTAAATCTGTGCAGTATGTACTTTGGCTTTCCGAGCCAAGAGTATGACAAGTTTTCATTCACCCCCACAATTATACAAATTGCCACAGAAGAAGGTTGATTTTTGTTTGTTTGGAACGTTGGTTAGGGTTTTTGTTTTGTTTCTGCAAACAATTTGTCTAATGTTCTTCATTCATGATGTTTACAAAGTTATGTCAAATAACTTAAATAGAACAATAATTTATTTTATAAAAGCATTAATTAAATTTTACATTAGATGGTGCCTTAGTAATTTTCCTTGTCATTGGGAAAAAATACCTGACGCCATGATTTAAAGAAGGAGGGGTTTATTTTGGCTCACAGCTTTATTCTGTGGTTAGCTGGCTCCAAGGCAGAAACAGTACAGCAGAAAGGCATGGCAGGGAAAGAGGGGCTCAATCCATTGCATCCAGAAAAGAAAGAAGGGAGGAGCTAGGAACAAAAATGTTCCCTTCTGAGTTATACCCCAAGAGACCCACCTCCAACCAGGCCCCACCCCTAACAGCACATTCAACTACTAAACTCACTCGGTCACCTTCCACACACATGAGAATCTGGGAAACACTTTTGATATAAACCATAACAGATGGATATAAAGAGGACAAAGGAAACTTTCTATATGGAAAAAAGGACCAGCTACATGCCAGAGTTAACCACGAGATTCAGGTTACTGGCTACTGGTGGGAAGGAGGAAGGAAAATGGGATTTGCAACGAGTAAACTATGCTTTGTTTTATATATATAATATATCCCCAATATATTGTGTACCAATTAACCAAATAAGTAAATCAAAATGAATATAAACTTTGGTGTTTCCTTGCCTCATGCTAAAGAATCACATTGGGCTCCTGTACTTTATTTGGGACACTATTTGAAGATTTTAAAGGCTTGAATTTACAGAAGAATTAAATAGTAAAAACTCAGAGAGATATTTAAGTGGTGGCTGAATATCAACTTGTAAAGAGTAAGAAGTGTTTGAACGATTTTTTTGTGTTTCTGGAAAAGTTGTTTCCTCTCCTGTTTTGGAGTTCCCAAGCTACATTTTATGGTAGTCCTAACTGCACTGCTAGCCCAATTTTTCACTTTCCAGTTAGGTATGTGAAATAAAGAATCAGTCAGTATGCATTCCAATAAAGAATTTTTAAAAGCACTTATGTGTCAGACACTATACCAGACAGCAAATTAAGATACGGGGCATGTCCTCAAAGAGCACATTGTTATTATGATACAATGATACGAACTAACATTTGCTGAGACCTTTACTCATGCCTGTGCTGAATGCTAAGCACTCAGTCTGCATGATCTCATTAAATTAGCAAAATATCCCTGTGAGAAAACAATCTATCCACAAAGTATGGAAGAAGAAACAGAAGCTTCCAGAGTAAGTTGTCTGAGGTTAATTACAGCTTAACAAAGATCAGAACCATGCACTTAATAATTATGAAATCTGTATGTCTCATCAGTGGGTTACACAGCAAAAATCAATGGAAAAGTTTCTGTGGGAATCTAGAAGAAAGCTTACAGCTCTAGAGAATTCAATGCAGGTTTCAAAGACAAAGATATAACTGAATAGAATTTTAAAGGATAGGTGGCAAAAAACATTGAAAAAAAAGCTTCAACAGAGGTAAGGGAGGATATCCTGCATAAGTAGCTTTCTGCGTTTCATGATATGTTGTGTTTGGAGGAGTGTCAGAGGTAAGTTTGGGGAGGTTAGTAGAAAACAAAATGGGAGGGTCAGATACTCCGGACAGAGAATAAGAAACTCCTCAATAATCTCTTGGTAGCTCTGGAACGATGCTTGTCAGGCTTTTCCTGGGGTATCATTTGTACACACCTCCTCCTAACTGGAAAAAGAAGTGGACTGCAAGTAGGACACATTTCACTACAAGTTTAGACCACTATTTGATTTAGAAAGTAGTTACTTATAAACTGTGCTAACCTAAACTTGAAGAAGCTTGAACTAGGTGGAATTTAAGATTGTGCTTCTATAAAATTAAGTAACCTCTGACTTTAACAAATTTACAAAGTAGTCAAAGACTGAGAGCACATTCCCTCCTCCAAAAAATGACTAAAAAAATATCAGGTCAATTGGAAAAGCTAGTAGGAAGAAGGGTGAGTTTGCAAATTAAACAAGAAAAGTGTAGAAATTCTCAATACAACTGTGCATGGGAGAAATATTTAATTTTTCATTATAAAATAATATTATCAAGAATCCCAGTACATTTCTCCTTGTCATTTCATTTATACCTACTTGGTGTGGTACTTTGAAATCTTCTCAGAATACATAGGTTATATGAATTCTATAACTCCTTTTAATTGCATCAAGAGGGTGATATTAGAAGATTAAGAATTATCAGAAATGATACATAACTGTTAATTGTAGCTCTATGGGAACTACATGAAGTATCATTAAGGTGACAATTATGAACATACTCTGACTCAAATTGCTGCAAAGCATTACCAAATCAGGGAGACAGTATGTGCTGCAGGATAAACAGGAAAATAATTGGGGGAGAATCTAAAACCAGAAGTAGATGCAGCAGCTAATATGAACTGGGTTCATGGGCTCCCAGCAATATCATTTTCATGAGGATTTATGTAGTACCTAGATTTTACTGAGAGAAAAGTTGTGCAATGGCAAATGCAAAGCACAAAAACAACATCGATGAGATGACTAGATTCCAGTCTCAGCTCAATTATGTAGAAGCTATAGATTGGGGGGAAAAAATCATCTGGCCTCAATTTATACTTCCACAAAATGGGTTCAGTAATACTGAGAAATATAAACTTACAAGCAATAAAAACACATAAATGTTATTGACTGGAATCCAGTGAGGTCTCTGACCAAACAGTGTGTGTGTTTTACTCTGTTTTTTCCATAAGGTTTATCTTCAACAGAATATCTGCTTTTCCCTGCACGTGTCTGCATGCTTCTTCTTCTTCTCCAAATGAACACTCAGTAAATCACTTAATAATGGCGTCTTGCATTTGAATAGACATTGGAACTCTTGAAGGAATTCTCACATGTGATTTATGTGCAAATGTCAGATTCATTTTGCTGGACATACTTCTAATCATGGCATAGTGCCTTCAGACATTTTCAACAGTGTCTTCTTTTCTTCAGAATAATCCCAAGTTCTTACCTAACTCTAAAGCTTTGTTACTCAGAAGTGTGGTCTCCAGACCCAGCAGCATCGCATCACTTGGGCACCTGTTAGAAAATAGATTTTCCAGCCCAAGTTCACTGAATTAGTAACTTCACTTTAACAAGATTTCTAGCTGATTATTACCTTCAATTTTATCTGTATCTTTACTCTCTTGTAAACTTGAAGCTATTAACAATTATGAGATTCAGCAACAAAAAGAAATAGAGGCCCAATAAAATTTGAAAACAATGAATAATGTTCAGTTTGGCTTAAATGTTTCATGGGATATACTAACACTTCAAAAAGTAACTGACTGTCTGCAAGCCAGGTTAGCAAACCAATTTGGGTGTGTAAGATACCTAACATAACATTGTGCTTCGCTGCAGTGGTGCAATGCCTTTTCCAATTGCTCAGTGTATATTTGTTCAATGAATAGAGAAAGTGAACTTGAATTTCTCTGGGTTCTTTGCTCAACACTGATGATACCCAAAGACTAACACAGTGGCCAGTACATCATAAAAAACCCATACGTATTTTTTGGATGAATAAACAAATACATTAAGAGCAATCTTCCAATTATGACTTAGGTGATGTATGCATATTTTAATTAAAACTGAATTTTTTCCTCATATTTAAAACAATGCTTTAAATTGTTACGGTTTTTCACATTTCAGCTGACAGCGTCCAGGACTATGATGGGAGCATCATGTAAGGCTCAGAGTGTACTTGTCGCATTCCAGGTCCATCTGGTCCACGGCTGGAGTGAGAAACCCATACCAGATGCTGACAAGACTGCAGCAGGAAATAGGAGACACCGCCCCCTCCAGGCCGTCCAGGCGCCGCGCACGCGCACTGAGGCGCTCTCCGCCCGCGGCGGGCGGCGGGCGGCGAGGCGGGACTCTGAGGCGCGTGCGCGGCGGCCAGGGCAGCCGGCCCCTCCCTTAACGGGGGCGCGCGGCTCGGAGGACCGCACGGAAAGGGGGAAGTCAGGTGGCCACTGCCGCTGCCGCCGCCTCGGTGTGTCGCCAGAAGGAAGATGGCGGATCTGGAGGAGCAGTTGTCTGATGAAGAGAAGGTAAGCTCCCTCGGGGCGACGAAGCGGGTCCGCCAGAGCCCACCGAGCCGTGCGCGTAGGCCGTAGTGCAGCCGGTGGCTCAAGGCTGTCGCCGTCCGCCGTGCGGTGTGCCCGGTCGCCCTTCCTGCTGCGCCCAACGCCTGCCCCTGTCAGTCAGTCAGCCGGGGCGCGCGGGGCAGCGCTCCGCCCGGCCTGCTTTCTCCGCTCCTTGTAGGGTGTGTGCTCCGAAAATAGGAAGCGGTGCGGTGCGGCCGCGGGCCTACGCGGGGGAGGCGGAGGCGGCGGGGAATCTCCCCGCCCGCGACGGCGACGGCGGCTGCGGTTGCGGCTGCGGCTGCAGAGGGCCGGGATCTGGGTCTGGCTCTGGCTCTGGCTCTGGGTCCGGGTCGCAGAGCGGCCCAGGGGCAGTGCCCAGCCCGGAGGCCTGGCCAGGAAGGGCAGCCGGGGTGAGGGAGAAAATCGCTTAGGGAGGCGACCTTCACTTCCCCCTTCTACTTCCCCCACGCCAAAGCGAAAAGCTTCCTTTCTTCATTCCCGAGGGTGTTCCGCTTCCCCTGGAGGTCTGTATCCCCCACCTCTTCTTTTTTCATTTATTTAGAGGAAGGGGCTTTAGCTGCGAGCTTTGCAGCTTCCTCAAATACTGTAGGGTCGCGCGCGCGCACTCACACAGCCACAAAAAACCCGCCCATAGTTGTTTTCTGCTCAAGTTGGCAGCTGCCCCGCCCCGAGGGGCCCATTTGGTGGCACCCTGTCTTCCGGCTAGGGCTTCTTGTAATGGGGGACATTGTGCACTTCCTTTTGTTATATGTTAAATGTAATGGTAGCAGTGGAACTAGATGTACAACTCAAGTTCTTGGACGTTTATAATAAAGATCTGATCATTGAGCTAATTTTGTTTCAATTATTGTGAAGACCCCTTACCGGAGGCTCGCAGGTGGGAGGAGTCATGTTAATTTTGACCATTTCCTAGAAAGGACCCTGACATTTTTCAAACTTAGTAGTAACTGACATATGAATATGGTGTTCACAGTTTTAATGTATTAGTGCTTGGTTTTTAAATCCCAGAACGGCACAACCGTGGTGCAAACTCCTATAGTTACATTATGGTGTTTAAGAAATGCTAATGTAAGGCTAAAGATAAACGTAATTCTCTTACAGAGTTTTTGAATTCTGTTCTTGCACTAAAATTTTGAATTCTGTTCTTGTACCGCTCTCTTCCCCTTGATGTGCATCTGCAGAACTCAGCTTCGTTTTCGTTTTTGGATTTTTTTTTTTTTTTCTTTTCTTGCTCTTTGATGAAAATGATAATGAAGCAACAGAATGGGGAGAGCAACATAGTACTTGATAGTCCATGGACTCAGCAGGCAGATCTCTTGTCACCAAAAGTTGCTGTGCAGTATCCATGTGTAATACTGGTAAATAGCCATAGGTTGGTAGCTTAAAATACAAGAGTATGCACATAAAATTAAGTAGTGCTAAAAAGTTTTTTTTTAAAGAGTGCCATTTTCCTCACCATTCTTTTTTGCTAAATTGCTTATATTTTATCAGTTTTTATTAGTACGTTTCCAACACACAATGATTGCATTCTTTATGGGGAGTTGCTGTGTGTACATGATGCATCCTTGGTTAGTTTTCTTTTCGATCCTTTCCCCTCCATCTCTTAATCCCCTTCCCATATGAGAAAGAACTTTTTTCCTATTTCTTATTGTCTGTCCTTCATTTTGCTTTTTGTTAGTAGCTCAAATGGCTAGAAAGATTGCTGAAGACAATGTACTTGTCAGGGAGTTATTATAGAAGTATCATGTTTCGTAAAGGCCTAAAATAGAGAAGTTTCTTGAAAATAAGAGCACAGGAGTCCTTATTTCTGGATACTTATGGCAGTAAGTTTCGTGGGGGTTGGTGGAGGGTTTCTTAAATTTAACCTATTAATGCGATGTTCTGTGAGCAAATGAATGAAAATTTTAATTTTAGTGTTCTTTTTTATTTGGAGTTTTGTGTGATTGTGCAGATGTTTTGCATATATTTTATCACTATGTTTTCTAATTTAAGAAAAACACCTACCAGAGTTTTAGATTAAACTTAAGTAGCCAGTGAAACGAAATTTTCACATTCTTGTGATTTAGATATTTTTTGGGGAGGAGGATGTGGCATATAGGATCAGAAATAGAGAGGATTTAGAGGTGATTTTTTTAAACTAATATTTAAATCATGTTACCCTTTCTGCCACCTTATTTGTGAATTTCAAAAATAAGCTTTTAATATTTTGAAGCTTTAAACTTCTATTGTAGATCACAAATCTAAGAGAGGGAAGCTGTTAAGATATGTGTAGTACCATACTACACATACACATATACACCTGGCTCAGTTAGACAAATATATTTGTTACTTTAAGTTTGAGGTAAGTAGAAATATTATTACTATTTCACAGGTTAATAAAAGTTTCAGAAGCATGTAATTCAATCAAGGATGCTTAGGTAGGAAGTGGCAGAGATTATATTTAAGCTCATTTGTCTTTTGAGTCCAAGTTTCTTTTTCTTATGACATTAAATGCCTTTAAACAAAAATGATCAATATCTTGGTTTTTTGTTGCCAGTTTATTTGGAAAAAGGAGAAACAAAGTTTTTTTTTCTTTTTTAACAAAAATGTAAATAGTAAATGTTAATATAGAAATTAGCCTAGAATAATAGCTTTGCTTTAGAAATCATGTGCAGTTATTTTTCTGAGGATACCACTTTGGAATTTAATAATCTTTTCTCCTTTGACTTGGATAATAGGAAGTAAATTGAGCTACTGATTTGCTATAATGGCCCACAGTTTTTTGTTTTTGTTTTAAACATAGTTGTAAAAAACTTTAGGCCCAAAACACTTCACATTTTCCATTGCTGGGTCAGCTGTACTTAAGGCAAAACTTTTTTGTGAATTTAAAATACATGAAATTGTGGTGTCTCGAAAAGAATCATTTCCTAGACTCTAAAAGGAAAAGCCTTTTGGTAAGAAAGGATCTTTTTTTCTTCTTCCCCTTCCACCTTCCCCAGTGATTAGAACAATCTGTAGCTTCAACATGTTTGTCTTTGCAGATTGTCTCAGGTACGTTAGCTTTTAGCTTACTTCTCCTGAATGCTGGTTCCACATTTTTATGTTGGTAAGTTCACAGGAGACAACTGACTACGTAAGTTTCAGTGAAGCCTACCTAAAAATAAATTTATAACCTCCCTTTACTTTCCCCACTAAAAAAAAAGTGGAAATCTCCTCTCCTGCTCATTTTTCTTTTTCTTTATTTCCATTGTTCCAGTCTAGGATTTTTTTCCCCATAGTACTGGGAGTTGAACTCAGGGCTTTTGACACACTAGACACCCTACCACTGAGGTACATCTTTAGCCCTTTTTATTTTTATTTTTTTGAAATAAAGTCTTGCTAAATTGGCCAGGGCGACCTCATACTTTTCCTCCTTCTGCCTCAGCCTCCATAGTAGCTGATTATAGGTGTATGCCACCATGTCTGTCTATTGGATTTTTAATTTTTTGTTTGTCTTTACCTTGCTATCTGAATTCTGTCCCTGCAAAAATCAAAATGTATTGGATACAAATAACTTATTCCTTGCTTGAAAATTTAATTCATTTATATTAATACTTGGCGTATTATTTTCAGCTGACTAGATTATTAAATTAACTATTGTTTGATAACAAAATGTACCTGTACAAACAAATTAACTTTAGTTATTTTGTGACATCTGTTGAAGAAGAAAAAAAGGAAAATGAAGTTAGAAAAATGCAACATATCTTTTAGTTACTTTTTTAGTTATGTTTTTATTATAAAATTTCTAGACTAATCTCTTCAGTTAACTGTACTTAAGGTATTGATTCCCTAATGTCAATACTTTAGTGGCTGGGTCTTCTATTGCTTTTACAAGGAACCCAGAATTGAAATGATTCATGGCCTTGTATTCCATTCCAGCCTAAATAACTCTGACATTTCCAATAAATTTTTTATTTATTCATGCTGTGAATTCAAAGAGACTTGTATTCTAGTCCATTTCTAGCACCTTGAGTAAAATTGTTTCCTCTGAAATTTGAGGACTTTTTTTTTTGTTAACCTTTTTTTGTTATTCATAGCACCTGTTATGTAGTGAACACATAATAAATGGCAGGTCTTTGTCTCTGCTCATGACATCTTGTCCCCTTTGACCATTAGTACTGGAATTTTACTCATGTCTTGAAGATTTTGCTAAGATCACAAGATCAGTTTAATCTTTCTTCTGAAATCTATAATACATCACTTAAAGCACTGTTAAATAATAATTTTGTTTACTAACTGTTAAACTTTTTTTCTATTGGAATTTCTAAATAATGTTCCATTTAGCATCATCCATCATTAACCTGCATGTGACAGATGAGTAGACTGGTTTCATGAGTGAACAAACAAAAACGTCATGAATTTATAGAATTCATAGAATTAAGTCTTATGAAAATAGAAGTAACATATAATGGCAGGTTTTTTTATTTGGTACCGGGGATCGAACTCATGACCTCGCACTTGCCAGGCAGGCACTTACCCTGCTGAGCTAAATCCCAAGCCTCAAGTGGCAGGTTTTTGAGAAAAAATCTAGTTGCCTATATTTTTCATTCCTAAATGATGCTACCAGTTTTAAAGATGTAGAATTGTGGATAATGAAATGTCTGTTGCGCTTTGAAATAACAAGTGGTGTTGGCGAGGGTTTACATGCTAAATATTTTGTATGAACAGTTTGTATACATTCGCTTTACTATATAGGCATAACCTGTTTTCATAAACTTTATAAGTTTTTACACACAATATAAACTGTCGTTATATTGTATCATAATTAATGTAAAATTAGTAGTGTTATTAACCAGAAGGTAAATTAAAGCAGTAAGCTGTTAGGGAAGTTGCTAGTTTCATTCTGTGGATGAGCTGTGCTACACAATTCCTTCCACAAGCAGGACCTTGATAACTACTATAACATTAACAGAGTTCTTTAGACT